TATTTTGTAAATTACATTAGGCGTGTCTAACTTGTCAATCCCAGGTTTAAATTTTGTGAAACATTCATTTGCTAAGGTGTTTTTAGTTTTTTCTGCTGTTGATGTTGATATTATGTGGTTTGAATATATTTTTTATTTTTGTGTTAATTTTAGTAGTAAAAGGAATCAATATAAACAGTATTTTATTCGCTTTGTGTCCAAATTGGACAAAATTAATACTCCAAATGTATGCCAAGGCTACACATGTAAGTAAAAATATTTAAGTATCTGAACAAAGAATTCTAGTCTCTTCCCAAATTTGATTGTCCTGACTTATTAGGCCTAATTAATTTTAGAATGTTTCAAAGTGTTGCAATTGTGATGTATTTTAGTGTGTGATATGATGAGGCTGTTGACGAACTGTGATTGTTTTTTAAATTAATTACATTTTTTTTAACTATCTGTTATTTTAGAAAAACTGATGATGGTGGAAATATACACCGGAACGTATTTTAATTGATAAATAGAGCCAATAAATGACTGAAACCCAGGAATTAATTTTGATTTGGAATATATAGGATTGTCGTCAACATTGCTAGGATCGTCAAAATGTAAATAAATTTATACCAATAAATACGGACGGTTTAATTCAGTCCATGGAAGGTTTTGACTGAGCGATTAGGCCACAAACTGGTCAATTACCAACCCTTTACATTTGACCAGTATCTACTAGAACCGCTTCATACAGTATTTACTGAATTAATTGGCTGACGTTGGCTTCAACGCATCCAAAATCTCTCAAAACACTCGATTTAATAACAGAACGCAAATCTACACTTATCCCATACCTGCTTCGAGGAACCATCATCATAATCATCATCACGAAAAAAACGTTTCAGCTTAAATCTACAATCAAAGCGGGAATTGAGCCGCTATCTCTTGGTGGAATGCTCCTTCTTGTTGTAGTCGTCCAACATGGAGGCGACTTCCATCCGTTCGGCCGCGATGTGCTGAATGTTGGCCAACAGATCCGGGTACGGGTTGATGGCCTTCACAAAGTCCTTCTGATCCAGCCGGTAGATTTCTGAGACCTCAACCGCAATCACAGAGGCGGTTCGCAGCGTGCCCTTGATTATCAGCGCAATTTCCCCAAAGTGCGAGCCGTCCTCCAAGTGGCAGATCTTTTCGAGGCTCCGGATTAGCAGCCTGTTTGGGCTGTGCTGAGCGCACGCTTACCTCTTTACCGGACTTGGTGTAAATCGCTACTGTGCCAGTGGATATGAAGTACATGCTGGTGCCCGGAGTGTTTGCCTTGATTATTATGTCGTTCACCAAATAAACTTCGATTCGCAGACAGGATATGATGCGCACCAGCAGGTTAATTGGAAGGTTTCTGAAGAAAATCACATTTTCCACCAGCTTCCTGCAGGCGTGCATGTTTATTTCCTACGGGTTCACTCAGTCAAATCCAACTTGAAGCCAACCGAGACGTGCAAGTAGCGCGCCGCTACCTGTCGTAATTGCTCAGAAATCGTGTCCAGGATCTCATTCTCCCGAAAGTAGCTCTTCTGAAAGCGAAACTCGTAGTAGATCAGAATCCTGCTCCGCATCTGCATGGGGAGCTGCTTGTGACGCATGTAGTCCTTCAGCTGGCGCTCCATTTCCACGTATTTGTGCGAGGCGGACGTTTTACCCTTCATGATCTCCATGATGATGGCTTAAAGTGCGAATTTATCAGCTACGTGTAGGGCGAGCGCGGAATCGTTACCTAGAATGTAGATAAAAAACAGACTGGATGCGTACCATCCGAACCAGACTAGCAAGATCTCGGCCTCGGTGGCGGGCAACACTTTTCCATAGCTGGAATTGTAGATGATAAGGGAGCCGCGATAAAAGGCCCCCAGCACCGTGTTCAGCACCGGATTAGAACTGCTCGCTTCCTCTCTACAGATGGATGAAACAGTGACAAAAATTTAAAAAATTGCGCGAACTTACTGGATCACATGCGTTATTGTTCTGGCCCTGAGGAAAATCCGGTTCATTTTGGAACCCAATCGGTGCCTGAGGAACTTGAGCATGCAACACACAACATGCCAGTAGAGCAACGTGAACACCACGACCAAAGTGATCATGTACGTGTAGTAGTTCACATCTAGAATCTACTGAACGGGGCTGTTGAATTAACTGTTGGTCCAAAGCGGCTCCTCACCTCGGCACAGTACTTGAAATGCTTGTGGAACCTGATGATGAGTAGGTACTTGGTGCAGCACAGTGTGTGCACTAGCAGCTTCATAGCCCACGACAACCCGATGCAGTAGAGCAGATTTCGAGGGCAACAAGCCAACAGGTCGCTGATGAAGAAAGTTTTCAGGTATTGCCTGGAATCCAAACTTAGCTAGTGAATAGCAGATAAATGGAAATTGATACTAACAGAGCGATTTGCTTGCTGTCCAGCACCACTTCCTGCTTGGGTTCGTCGTAGTATCCAGTGAAGAAGCACATGAGCACGTTGAGCACGAAAATCACGTCGATTATTATCCCGAGAATCACCCAAGTAAGCGAGTAGATGAACGAATTTTCCATGTCGTGCAGCAGGAAGTCCAGTGCTGTGCAGAATATTTCCGCCACAATGGCGAAGATCATGATAAACGACCAGACGAGGCTGGAAAACAAGAATAAACCAACTTCCAGAAGCGCGCTTCGCTCCTTACTAGGCTCGGCTAAATGGATGGATTCTGAAGCCGTAGTTCAACACTTGTCGCTGGCGCTCCTTCACTATGGCCCCGAAGCTGCGCAGATGGTGCGTGTACATCTTGCTCGATTCGGAAACGACGCATAATCGTATCAGCCAGCGCCGAAACTTGTTCATTAGGCCCTTATTGGGGATTCCATTGTACTCAAATTCATCAGGGAGATCATCCAAGGTGCAATCGTGTCCGTATTTCGAAAACTGAAGCGCAGAAAACGTTTGATATAGAAAACACTCAAATCTGAACACTTACGGGGCTCTTCGTTATGTGCACTTTAGTGTCCATTGCCATTTTTGGTCGGCGTTAAACGAAATACAACGGCCTGCATGGAAAATGCGGAAAAACTCCGAAAATTTTGACAAATGGTGACATTCTGTCACTTTCTTAATAACTGAAAAATACCCAGATTCAAACCAGGAAAACTATCTAAGAAAAAACTCACGTCCTGATCAATCGAATTAGAAATCCCGTACGTTCACCCATCATCGTTCAGCTATGCAACCAATCAACAAATACCACCCGGTCGCATGACACATTTTAACAGTAGTTCCCCGAGAAAATAGGCAAGCTGGCACCGCGCCGCTCGCCTATGTTGACGTTTACAAACCCAAACCTAACCCAACTTGCGCGAAAAGTCAACCCCTGCAATTTCCATCCGCAGACCTGGCTATAAATACCAAAAATTTCCCGGAAAAACTGAATTCAGCATGGAAAAACAGCCCGACTTGGAGGCAAAGTATCAGCGACTGGCCACGGAATACTCCAAGGTGATGCGAACTGGCAACATTAATTACCGCACAAAGTATCAATTTAGCAACTTCTAGGTGCGATCGCAGGCCACTGTGTTGAAGAAAGCCGTGCTGGAAGAGCAGGCAAAGAGCCTGGAACTGCGGGAAACCATCCGGAAGCATGAGCAAACTGTCAGGAAGCATGACCAGGAAATGGAAAGCCTGACGTTTCGAAACGAGCAGGTAAACAAAGCTATTTGATTTCAAGACTAGGCCCGCTTAGTGGACATTTTATAGCTGACCAAGCGAATCTCAGTGTTGCAACAGGAGCTCCAAACGAACAGCAACAGTAAAAAGGGCAAACCCAAACCGACGGACAACAATGTTGCTGCGGATGTGGGAATTCTGGATGAAGAGTTCCACAGGAAGATTGTAGAAAATGCACAACTACTCAGTAGCGTAGGTCCCCCCTAACCAAACAAAGCGTGTGAATTAACTTGAGCAAACGTTTCCAGATATCAGATAAGGATCTAGAAATAGCCAGTTACCGGGACCGAATAGAATGGCTGGAAGACAAGCTAGCGAACATAGAAAAAGAATTAGGCAATAGAGATGCACTGAACAGGGCCAAGCTGGATCGGCTGCAGACGGAGAACGAAGCCCTCAGTAGTAGAATAAAGTCGGCCTACAGCGAAAGAAGCGCCCCAAGCAACGACAGTGCCGAAAAGGTAGGCAGGCTACTCCAAATTCAGCTTACTGTATAAACCTGTTTCTTTGGCACTTTAAAGATCTCATACTGGAAGGCTGAGGCTGAGAAACTCAAAGCAGAATGTGATATTTTAAGGAGCAAACCGACATCCAATGAAAAGCTGACAGAGTACTATGAATCTCAATTAAGGGAAATGCTGGAAATCAAAACCCTGTCGCTAGCTGAGAGCAAATCTTTATCTGCAGAAAATCAAGCTCTCAAAGCAAGGTAATCAGCTGGTGCCATAACAGCAAAGTCCTTATATGAATGGCTAAATTTCAGATTAGAGCACGCAATTAGCGAACAAAGTGAGCTCCAGAAAAACCTCGATACCAGCCATGAGGAATTGTTAACAACAAATCAAAACTACCGCAGCCAACTGGACGCGATGACCGAACATTTGGCGGCCCAAAACGAGAAAATCACTCAGCAGAGCGACGAAATTGAAATTCTAAAGCACAAACTGGCAACCAAAAAGTAACCACTTTGCAACTAATGGAGAAATCGGTGCAATAATTTGATCGTTTTCCTTGCTCTACCGTTTAAAACTAGTGCATTATCAACATTCCTTTCTAACACCTCAATTGCTTTAATTTTTATAGTTTATTGTACATAGTGTATTTTGAAATTGTGATAAATAGCACTGTAAAAATCAAGTATTGGAAAGAATCTGCAAGGCGATTCCACGCTAAACAAAAACTTTATTTGAATAAATATTATTCACAGCTCTAGTCCAGTCTGACTGCAAATGAAGCCCCACACGAGCATCCCTGCTCGGCTAAAGGATTATTCACCACTTTAAACGCGGCCCTTATCAATTCCTCTTGATAGTCGATAGTGGAGCCTTTAACGTACTCCAAGGACGTGTCGTCGATAACCACACGAGCCCCATGCTTCTCAAAAACCCTTAAATACGATCGGCATTTCACCATCGGATTAACTCGAAACGTTTGCGAAAAAACTTACTTGTCATCGTCGCTCAGCTTGTTGTCCAAATTAAAGGTGTACTGGAACCCTGAGCATCCGCCACCTTCCACTGCCACCCTTAAAAAGTTGGCCGGGCTATCTTTGGTAATAATTTTCAGTCTTTGCACGCATTTATCGCTCAAATGCAATTCGGGTTTAACATTCTCCAGGGGCTTGACATTCGCCGTTATAGAGCGCACTAGCGGGGGCTTAATCAGCTTTTTAACAATTTGAGGCACCAATTGCCTGGCTGTAAACATTTTCGCACATTGACTACCACTAATAATTTTTGTTTTCTGTCCGTTGCGTCATTGTTTTGGGTTAGAGCGACAGTTTCTTCTTGTAAATAAACAAGCAGAGCGTGAGCGCTACTTGACAGTTGCTGTCAGTCAATGTCAATGAAACAATATTTTATTTGTTCCAGTTTCCAGAAAAATCGTTTAAATTCTAAGTTATCATAAGAAGTGAGAACTGTGTATTCAGTGGGGAAACTCAGAAACTTCCACGACGGAGCCCGACCACAGTAGATCGCTAAACATGGATGTGGACCAGCCGCTGGCAAGCTCATCAGGTTGGTACTCGTTCTGAGCAATTTTTAATCTATTTACTGAGTAACAAGTAAACATCATTAGCTTGTTGTTGGCTAATTCGGGCTTGATTGTAGTGCTGACGACGTCCCTAGTGCTGCAGACCATGCCCAAAATTGACGAGAATGTGAGCAGTGAGCACAAGCCGCCCAAAGAACGGATCTTGGGCCTTCTGGATCTACTGGAAACCCATGTTGAAAAGCTGCGGAAAGAAGCTGCCCAGCTAGAAGAGGATCGTGACCAGCTATTGGTCACCCTGGACTCGGTGCGACACACCGATTTAATGAATCAACTGGACGACAGTAAGTGGCCGGTATTTTATAGCCCTTCTTAAGCCTGTGTCCCATGCATCCGTTTATACGATGGTACGATGATACGAGTGTTTCTATTGGTTGGAGAAACTCTTTCGTATCATCGTATGAACGGATGCATGGGACACAGGCTTTAGGTCATGGTTTGAATTATCCTCAGATGATGCTGATGATGTGACTCGCTATGCTGAGCGGATTATGAGCCGCTGTCAAACTGTAGAAGTGCGCGTTCTCACCCAGAGAGACCAAATGCAAGAAGAGGCTCTATCTCAGATCAATTATCTCATAGATGGTCTTGTTATGGATCTTAGAAACGACCACGAGGCAGCGAAGCAAAGGTAATTGTTTCCAAATGGAGATGGCAGTTGCTAGAGACGTTTTTCCGTAATTTCCAGATGCGTTTCCTATGTGAATGCCTGCTCTTCCATAATGGTTGATGGCATAATGGACAAAAAGTTTGAGTCAGCGCTACTTGGGTGCACTCTGGACGATCAGAAGCGTGTGAAAAAGCGCTTGAACGGCCTTCTGCATTATTTTGAGCGACTGAGAGTCCAAATGTTTGACTAGACTTGCCTCACGCGGGGTCCCGAACAGATATCCGGCGCTTGAATGTGGAGAAAACTCTAAATTGGCTTTGTACGTATTATTTTCACTAAAAAAATCGAGTTATCGATTGCAAAAGTTATTTTTTACAACCAAACGCCGGTTCGGCTTTGCTAGAGTTCAATGTTCTATTCTTGTATAAGTAATCTATTCCTAGCATTTCTGTGTTATTAATTGGTCATTATGGCTGGCCATCTTTAGCCATAGAAGGTCTATTTTAGTTATACTTAATGGAAAAAACGTTGCAGTTCACGTGTTTTTCTTTACAGGCCCAAGTTTAATGCATTTACTTAGTAAAACTATTGCGGCGGCTTTATTATATTCTTTATATGCATTATTCACTAATCCGGGTCTAGGTTGGGATTGGGGAACAGGTTGTTAAAGTGATCTGCAACACGTTTTAACTTCAATAAAACATCTTATACTATTGAAACCGGCTTCGCTTATTTAAAATGCTAGCGAAAAATACAAGGTGATTGATTAGTGGTTATTCCTTTCGAATTGTCGCTGATGGCGAGCAGGAAATTTCCTTACGGCCTCTAGCGGCGTTGTCACATGTCCATCTAAAGCACTATGACTGTGACATTGACAGCCTTCTAATTGTCTTGTAAACAGTTAAATCTTTCGAATAAAAAACCGGTGAAATCCTTCAGTATTCATCTACGAAATCCTCTGCGTAAATTTCCGCAATGGACACAAGTAAGTACACGACACGGAAATATAAATTAGGACAATCTGGGAGACGTGTGGCCCATTTAGGTGACACAGAAATGCTGATCCGTCGCAAAATCGAGCAGATGAAGCAATTTAACGAGAATTTCAAGAAAAGTGCTGAACAGCCACCCCCAGGAAAAGCCATTAGCGCCGCCCCCAAACCTCTGATGAATGCAGAGGCTTTAGATCAGCTGATTAGTGTGAGCAACCACGTCGTCGAAAGACAGAGCCGTGTGGTTGAGCAAGAGCGGGACTGCCAGCAGAGTATGTGGAAGATCGACAAGGAAATCGCCCGAATGAAGGCTGAATACAGCACATTGACAAACACGTTAGGTAGTTATTTCTTGCCCTAAAGCTGACAGTTCAGAGGTTCGAATTGCAGAGGAGATGCAAAAACTGGACATCAAAATGGAGCTCGCAGCCCTGAAAAAGGCCAAAGCCAATTACTCCAGCGCTTTGGACGTGGAGATCCACACCAGAGACTTGGAAGATGGTGAACATTTTGTGGCCGTAGTGAAATTCTCGACTGGAGAAGACGGAAACACTATAAATTTAACGATTAATAGGAGCACCAGGACAGTCACAGGTGAACAGAGAAACGTAAACTCAAACGCAGGTTATTCCAGTGCAAATTTGCAGCTTTTGATGCCAGCCAGATAATGTCGCAAGAAGAAGCCGCCGAACTACAACGAGCCGTAACTGTGCAGGAAGGGCGGATAGACCTGAGGAAATTGATCGCCATTGTGCGCCCCATGTGCAGAGAAACAACCACATAGAGCAACAACATAAGCTATTACAATTAAAAGTTTATTTTACAAACTTCTTGTTGGGTATTTTGCCTATTATTAATTTAAACAATGAGATTAAGTCAAAGTCACATAACTGACAATTTGCACAGACGAATTTTCATATACTGTATTATCCCACTATTGTTACACAATTTATAAACATACTCATTTAGGTTCTTTTGATAACGATAGCAGAAAATAGCTATCGAAACGTCAAGGTAATTTTTCAAATTAATTTCTTTACTAATTGGAATTTTCT